GGGGGGGGGGGGGGGGGGGGGGGGGGGGGGGGGTGTGTGTGGGGGGGGGGGGGGGGGGGGGGGTACGGCGTTCTCAAAACGCCGTACCCCCTCGGCCCTGTATGTGAACAGGGTCAAGGGGGTACGGCGTTCTCGAAACGCCGTAACCCCGGTCCCACCCCCACCCGGCAACCGATGGGGTTACGGCGTTTCGAAGGCGCCGTACCCCCTCCGGTTCTCAGTGGGGGTGGGAGATGGGGTGCGCCGTTCTCGAAACGCCGTACCCCCGCTCCCACCCCCACCCGGTAACCGAAGGGGGTATGGCGTTTCGAAAACGCCGTACCCCCTCAGCCCTGTGTCTGAACACGGTCGAGGGGGTACGGCGTTTCGAAAACGCCGTACCCCCTTCGGTTCTCAGTGGGCGGTGGGAGAGGGGGTGCGGCGTTCTCGATACGCCGTACCCCCGCTCCCACCCCCACACGGCAACCGAAGGGGGTACGGCGTTTTCAAAACGCCGTACCCCCTCGGCCCTGTACGTGAACAGGGTCGAGGGGGTATGGCGTTTCGAGAACGCCGTACCCCCTCCGGTTCTCGGTGGGGGGTGGGTCGGGGGTACGACGTTCTCGAAACGACGTACCTCCGCTCCTTTCGCCTGCTGGCAACTGAAGGGAGGTACGGCATTTTGAAAACGCCGTACCCCCTCTACCCTGTTTGTGAACAGGGTCGAGGGGGTACGGCGTTTCGGAAACGCCGTACCCCCTCCGGTTCTCGGTGGGGGTGGGAGCGGAGGTACGGCGTTCTCGAAACGCCGTGCCCCCTCCAGTTCTTGGAGAGGATAGGGAGGTGGTGCGCATGGCGTTCCCAGAACGCCGTAGCCTGGCCCCGTAGGTGGACAGGGCCGACGGGTGCGGCGCTTCGAAACGCCATGCCCCCTCGGCCTTGCTTCACAGAACCGGATGGGGTAGGGCGTTTTCAGAACGCCGTATACCATGCGACGCTCGAATGCGTCGGAGACTAACGTGAGGCGATGGTGGAAGGTTTGAAATCTGAATGGGATCCGTTCCTTCGTTTGGAATGTGCCTGCCATCAGGAGGAGCATCTGCTGCCCCAAAAAAAAGAGTCTACAACACGTGCACAATCTATAGAGATAGGGAGTGGGCCCTTGGTTGGGTGGGGGGGCTACACAAGGTGGGATGTGGGGCCGCTGTGTTTCTAAGGAACGCCTCAGGTGACGACTGGTTCTGTGTTGGAGGGATTATTAAATCTGAGGATGAGAGGGTGGACGGGCACTGACGGAAGTTCAGGAGGTTTTTCCTCACAACGGTGTTCGACGAACAAGGAGTGGACCATGCGAAGGCCGACCGTAAAGTCAGCCTTGATTACAATCTGTTCAAGGGGTATGGCGGTAAGGCTTCGATGTGACCCCGAAGGAAGACGGGAGTGTTGACGATGCTTGGCCCCGTTAAATTCCTCGCCAAAACGAACGGCTATAGGAGATCTGAAAACAGTCCCACGGTTGAGGCCGGGCATCGTATGTCCCCGACATTCGTGCCTTTTGACACGTCGGACGAGGATCTTCCCGGTATAGCAATGACAGAGAGACAAAGGACGCCACATAGTTTTCCAATGCAGTAGACGTCAGGGAAAAGGAGCCGGCGCCGCAACAAACAGAGCCAGCCGCGTCGTCCACCAGGCGAGGATGAGCATGGTCCTCCTGTGGGTTCGTCCCGCCGGATGGAGTGTGCTGGACCGTCTCAACCGTCCAGCCAGCAAGACCAAGGCACCCATGTCATCACATACAAAAGGAAGGCCCTGGCAACTCGTCCCTCTCCCAGTTGCCAGAAGGACAAAGGTGGTGCGTCCAAGAAGGCGGCGCTGCGGGAGATAAGCGAAGGATCGGACGAGGAAACGGAGGACGATTCTAGAGTATGTGTTGATCGTCATCCACAGGGTAATCATGCCGTCGACGATGACGAATGTGGTGTCGAAGAGGACGGCGTCGAAGAGGAGAACAGCGAGAGGGAGAGAGAGAGAGAGGATCGTGAGGAAACTATGTACGACTGCGAGGGTGGGGAGTCTCAACAATACTATGAGGAGGACGACGGGGGCGATGGAGAAAACGATCATGCCTATCCTATAGGTGATGACGATGGACGGCAAGAGCGGTCGACTGATGTTGGGGTCGACGACCCAACAGGAGAGCGGTCGGAGGCTAGTGTCCAGAAAAGGAAGCGACAATCTTCAACAAGTCCAACGGCGGCGGCGGATAAGCGCGCTGCGAAGAAACTCACTGCCGCTGCATCTCGACAGGCGCTCAAAGCTTCTCAAGAGGCGGTCGCTGAAAGCGTGAAGAAACGAAAAGGGTGAAGAAACGACAAGGGCGACAAAAGTGGAGAAATGTCCACCGAAAAGAAAGCAGATGGTGGATGAGGGTGACTGTGGAGAGGATGCCGAAGGGGTTCCTCCAAGAGATGTGTCGGAACAGACACAACCTTCCGCCGACACCCGTGATGAAGCCATCGACACAACATGGTGCTTCTTCTTGGAGTTCGATGAAGATGGGTTTGCAAAGAAGAAAAGGGAACACATTGAAGTGGATGTCACGAAGGTCTTGCCAATCCCTGAAGGTGACATCCTCTTCAACCATAGAACGTTGGACGAAACGTTGGTGCAGTCCATATATGATGCGATCCATCATGCGGCCAAGGAAACCAACGAGAAGTGGGATTTCATGACTTTCATCCTCACTCCCATTGTGCCCAATAGGGACGGGTCTCAAGGCAGACGGATCACACCAGAGCAATTCGACGTCGAACTGGCTCATACATACAACTGGTATGTTGTCGCTGGCCAGCACACGGCTGAGGCAATGAACAGACTCATTAAAGATAAGTCACCGGCCGAGAAAGTGTATGGCTTGAGGTCATACTCTCACGTACGTGTTGTCTACTTTGACGATGACAGAAAGAGAGGATATCCCTACGTCTCGACGTTCGACAACACGAGGGAGGAGCGTTCGATCCCGAGATCGTTTTCGTCATCTGTGCGCCAAATCAAAACATTTTGGGATAAGAGGAATGGTCGGATCCGTCCGCCAGGGACCGTGTCCCCGAATGACGTCGAGGGGATGAAACGGAAAAAGAAATGGGAAGAGTTCATGAACGCCGCCTGCAAAATGACACCTGATTCCGATCTCCTGAACTCATCCCTGGAGAACGACTACTGCAAGGACTGGACGAACAAGATGCGTGGATACATGAATCTTGCCCAATGCGGCGAAACTGTATGGCCACTAGTACAGAAATTCTTCGACATGTACGAGAAGGGGCTATTGCCGCGAGTCGACGGTGTGAGATACATCGACCTGCCGGGGAAAGTGGAAGGGACGCTGCCTGGGCAATACTTCCTCAAGGACAACTCCGGCAAAAAAGTCTTGTTTCACTACATCAACGCCAGGAAGGGGCCACCAGGCGCAACGGTGTCTATACCTGACTTGACGCCGACAATCTTCAAGTTGTTCGGTGATATGACAGCGACAGAGAAGCAAGTGGCGCTTCACCACATGATGCGTGGTGATGTCATCGTGACATCACGTTCGGTACCTCGTGGTAGATGCAACATGGCGGACTTGGTTAAATATACTCGGCGTGAAAGATATATGGTCTGTATGTTCAACTACATATTGTTCAAGGCCGAGGGGAGCTCAAAAGAAGAGTGGAGCGCTGACTTTTTCATCGGTTATACGACCATCTTGGAGAGGTACAACAAAAACGGTCTGACGGACGAGAAATGGACGGAGGAACGCGACCGCATCCCTGACGACAAGGCGAGGAAAGTGCCTAGGCGTTTGGGCGGTCCTGATGAGATTAATGGTGAGAACGGTGCGGGACTGGAGGCAACCCAAGGCATGTACAAGGAAACCCCGTTCCACCTCAAGTGTTTCATCTACGAGGCAATCGACTGCTTGGACGACCTGAGAGCGGAGGTTAATCGGATATCCTCCTGTGCTTGTCACATCTTTTGGGAAGTGGGGAAAAGGATTACCACGATCCTGCCATTTGAAATCGAACCGAAGGGAGTGCTCACGGACAATGAGGAGGTTGTTGGTACAGCGAGGGGGATGAAGATACGGGCAACCATTATTGATATGTCAACATCACCGAAATGTGTTCCGTGGGATGATGACGCCTTTTCCAAACTGTACGCTTTCCTCATGACATGCTGTGGCGAAAACTGGGCTTTGATCATTTTCGCGCCGATGAAACACCAGAAATAGATGATGCAGAGTGTGTACAATTGGGATGATGTTGAGGTGCTCACAGGGTCATGGTACAGACACTATACACCTTCAACAACCTTGAACAAGTACGGCAACATTGCAGTTCGGTACACTGACATGATGGCTATTGTCCTCCACGCCGAGAACGACAATTTAGACAATATAACGGTTGTGCCGAAAATACGAGCCGAGTTGACAAATTTGAATGTTGAAGAGGGTGAATTTGTGAGGTGCTGAGGGGAGTGTATCGGCGTGGAGGGCGATACCGACCCGGTTTATTCTTGGATGGAACGAGAGTCAGCACGTCTCCAAAAACTGTGCAGCTCGTTCATCAGGGAGGACGATGGCGTGATGCTGTTGGGCAGGGCGCATGCGGGACTGATTTGGGAACTCGCTCGCGCCGGACACCACGTGTTTGCGTGTGACGACACGACGAAAGAGCTCACATACCTTTCCAAGTTTTTGGAGTTTTATGTGAAGGATCCGAGGAACAAATGCAGGTTCGAAAAGCCCCAAGTCGAGCACCGCAAGGACCGGGACATTTACTATAAGCTCGGCAGGAAGAGGGAGAAAGTGTGGGCTTACTTGTTCGGTAACGTTCCACGGTCGGCAGTTGATAACGACTACGTCATCAGGAAAAGTGAACTCGAGATAGCAATGAACGAGTACCACGGATAGCACATAGGTGCTTTCCACATGTTCGTCGCACGTTGTGAGCATCTGTATTTCAATACAGATGCGGACTCGAATGCAGGTTCGAAAAGAACACTGTCATGCAAGGACTATGCGTACTTGGCACGTAAAGCGGGGAACTTCAACAACATCGATTGTGACGAAGACACGTCAAACTCCGACCTGGACGTTCCGTCGCGCGCGATACGATGTTCGGCGCAGGGAGCACGTGCCGAGGAGCCGCAAGGGAGCACCAACGCAGATGCGAAAAAGGCGAGGTCGAGTTTGGGAGCGACACATGCTAGTGAGGGAGACGTGGAACATAGAATGAATGCAAGGGGAGAAAAGAATGGTGTACCAATGAACCCGGTGAGTGCGAGTGAGAGAATTGTTAACTCACGGGGCAACACAGGGGGAGGAGAGAATGGGTGTGAAATGACCCCGCCGATAGCTGGACCATCATCGACACATGCACCGCAGGCCGAGCAGCGAACGCTCACGTCGATGGACATAGATGAAGATGAAGACATGGATATGACAGTTGTCATGCCGAAGCTCGTGCCAGGAAAACCGTTACCTCAAGGCTTTGCTCAAGACCCTTCAGTGCCATACTTACCGCAAGACAAGCTCAATGAGTCATCGGAGGAGGATTGTGGTCATCATATTCTCTGGCATGAGGGCGTGTTCGAACCGTGGGTGTTTGCAGGCAAGTGACAAATAGCTGTGAAGACAAAAGACTGCGGGTGGGTCGCGAAGGAAAAAAAGGACGCTGCGATATGGCACAGCGTGACAGAGACGCAACTTTTTCGGCGGGTTGCACAAGAAAATGTCGATGCAACCGAGGTCGCTGTAGCGGCAAAGGGGAAAGCTTTGTTTGAGCATCTGCGTGCGAACAAACAACTAGAATTCAGCACAAAGTTATACGACCTTGCATCAAGTGTGTCGTACGGCTCCATCGATTGAAAATTCAAACAAGCGTCATCAGTGCAAGGAATCGATAGCATCACCTCTCTGAAGACTCAAGACGTCATCGCGTCTAACACCATCGTTGCGATGGCCAGAGGGGATGCAGGCTGCGAAACGGACACACGTGCGAACGCAGGTCACATACAGAATGAACAGTTGCGAGCATGTAATCAACAAAGCACACAGAGAAGAGCAATGGGGGATTCCACTATGATACGCAAGGACGGCGACGACATGGAGTCGGGCACATTGACAGAGCCGCCAACGCGCGGGGTCAACGACGGGGCAACAATCGTTGGATCTTTCGGGTCTCTTGTCGCGACAATGGCGGCGAGGCAAGGCGTATCTGAAATGATGGAGACCGATGCGGGCCAGGATATTGAAAGCCAGACCGTGAAGGTGGCGCCAGAGCAGGTGGCGGCAACAACAGAGGAGACGAAGAAAGGTGAGGGATCTCGCGAACACATTTCCATAATAGATATGAGATCGGAGAGTACGGGCGAGGATATGATCCAAGATAACGACCAGAATGATGACCACGTTGCACCACGAGTGGAAGGTGACGACGAAGAGGACGCGCAACGACCAAGACGGTCAACGAGAGCAATAATTAAGAAAACTGTGTTTGATGCGTAGGAAAACCTTAGAATGGCATGGGCGTTTACAGTTTTCAGGTTATATTCATGTGGCGCCACAAATCATGATGTGATATTCACCCGGTCCTCACATGGGGTGTCTACGCATTTCTTGTTAAATTGATAGGTTGTCGCTGGGTACTATGTTAGAAAACTATGTTAGACAGGAATGGGTGTAAACACGTTTTGGGTTATATTGTTGTCTTAATGGAAGTAATATTGTGACACTGCAATTCTCAAAATGGCACTGTCGATAATAGAGGGTGCCCCATCTCGATACGTGTGTATGTGTGTGTGTGTCTGTGTGTGTGTGTGTGTGTGTGTGTGTGTGTGTGTGTGTGTGTGTGTGTGTGTGTATGTGTGTGTGTGTGTGTGAGTGTGTGTGTGAGAGTGTGTGTGTGTGTGCGTGTGTGTGTGTGAATAGGCAGAGGTGGACTCATCAGTAGCGTTGAGTTCCGTGTGTGGATTAAAGTGTGTGCGCGTGCTTGGTACAGTTTTATAATAAAGGCATATGAAAACACACAATATGGGGCACTTTGCCTGCCATGTGTCAAGGACATCTCTAATTTCAGAGAACTTGTTATGCCATCTTCTAGCGCGCTGCGAATGGTCGTCTTAACCTAAATCCCCACGAACTTGAAAAAAAGAAATCATAATAATGAAATGGAAAAAAAAAAACAACGTGAAAATATGTGAAACAACAAGGCTGGAGTAGTGAACTTATAATCAAAATATTGCCAAGAGTAATGAACATGAACATTTGAGAACAGATGGAAGCCGGGTTACCGTTAACCACCATAGATCGCGATAAGTGTCATTGATCGATTTGCTTTAAAAAAATACACGAAAATTGGAAAAAAATGTAGTTGTGTTATGCGGCATATTACAAGGAAGACGGAGGCCGGGGTATTCATGTCAACTCGCTATAGTATCCTGTTGCCAGGTTTCAGCAATTGAAATTTTATCTGTCGTTTCCAGCATGCAAATATGGCAGGCCCCAATAACGATAGTTTACGGTGGCGCATAATGCATTGTCATGTGCAGAAAAGAGGAACATAGAAGAAGTACGAAGATGCAAACAGGGATGGACGATCCGCTTAACAACGGATAAGTTATCGGAGAAGGAGACGGCCGCGGTGCAACATTTACGAGATTCAGTGCAAGCAGAGAATCGAACGGTCTGGACATCCACGTACAACGGGGCAACAAAAGAAGAACTAACACTAACCGGGCATGATTCGAGGTTGATACTGTTTCAAGGCAATTGGTTGAACACCGACATAGTTAACTTTTATTTGAACCTCGTTAGGCTTGACAACATGTGTCGCATAAGCCATCGCGAGTGTGATAGTGAACAAGACGGAACCGTAGTAGAAGGAAAAGGGCGCATCCCGATAACAACAATTTTTAGTTCATTCTTCTTCGCGAAATTGTTCGATGACGACATGCAATACCAATATAGCGCAGTGCAAAAGTGGATGACAGATATCGATATGGATGACGTGGACTTAATAATAGCTCCATTCCATGTCCAGAATAGCAGACTTAAGGCGCCAGAAAATGGAGTACTAGGACTCGCTTACCCTTGACAAAGAATTGGCAAGGAAAGTGACAGGTGGTTTCGCAAGATTCTTGTTTGAAAGATCGGTTGCACAGGGTAAGGTGGTGGATACAAAAGATTTCAACCACATATGGAATGTGTCAGGCATTCCTAGACAACGCGGCATTAACGAATGCGGTGTGTTTATGCTAACATATGTGTCACTTTTGGCAAGAGGATTTCTTCCGCCATTCAACTTCTCTTTCGACGACATCCACAATATAAGGGGATGGATCGCTTTAGATGTACTTGTCACACCGAAGTAGGAGTTAGTTGTGCAACAAAGGACATTTGATAGACGACATTATCAAAGCAAAACATTTGTTCATTTTTTTGCAAATGTAAAGAGTTCATTGACTCTGCTGGATAGACACCCATGAACATGTTCGAATGTATTTAACAAAGCAACAACGCTACATGCCCGATTGAACACCATTACTATGTTACTTTAGATGATCTCGTACCCCTTACCCCTTACCCCTTACCCCTTACCCCTTACCCCTATTACCCCTTACCCCTTACCCCTTACCCCTTACCCGTATTACCCCTTACCCCTTACCCCTTACCCCTTACCCCTTTACCCCTGACCCCTAACCCTATACCCATAAAAAACTTCATAAATTACATACAAAAATCGAAAAAAAATTGACTTTCAATTTCGTACAAAAAATAAAAAATGTCCATTTTGACGAAATCGCAGTTCGTATGCATAGAGGCTCAATTTCAGAACGGAGCTTAGTTATAGCTCAGAAGATACAGCAGACCACCAAGAAAACGATCTCGCTATGCAACCCCATGAAGATGACCACCCATTATCCCTGAGCACCCCACTCGCCCACTTACTGATTCCACTTCGATAATTCGTCAAAAAATCACCCCCAAGACCTCAAATGCATAGGAACTCTGGCCGATCTTGCAGCAATGGCAACATAAACACCTTACTCATACATCAAGCTACACAAGCTAATGCAAGCGACTATCCAATCCACTATCCTACTCAACACATGTGCCGATAGGAAAGATTCATCGAATCTGCAGGAGGAATACCTTTCCTGCGTCGACCGACCTTTATTACCTCGAACACACCTTTCTTAAACAGAGGGCGTGTCCAACAGATTGAAACCCCATCAAGACCCTGTACACCACCCAGTAACACGACACCTATACAGGACAGACACCGATCCCCACTCTTCGTACGAACCAAAACACCATCGGCAAGCCTCGATCTAAAACATTATATGAAGCTTCTAGGACTCATGCCATATCCGGATCATGCTATCCGGGAGCCACCTCACACCAACCATCCATTCTTGTAAACTACATATGCACACCGATCTCCCAATTCTACAAGCATCACTCGCTACAACCATCACCCACAAAAAGACCCCCCGAATCACACATAATCCCCCCGTATTCCAATCCTTCCGAAGTAAGACAGCCGTTGCAATGCATATCGGTCATTAATTTGAAGGAACTCAAAGGACTTCGCTAGATGTCATAGCTGCTCCCCAGCTGCTCGCAATCTGTCTGCAGCAAACATCGCCTACCCGACTAACACAGAAAATCAACGAGAAAACAGATACGAGGAGAGGCGAAAACGAGAACAAAAACGAAGCCGAGAACGAAAACAAGAATGAAAAGGAGAAAGAAAAAGGAACGAGAAAGAGTAGAGAGGAATAATAGGAGGAGGAGATATGGAAACAACCGAACCCCCCAGAGAAAGCAGTTACCCCATCCATCAAGGCCCAATAGACAAGGGGACAAAGAGCGCCAAAAACGATGGTAAGTGCAAACTAATCATAGTAACGATTATCACCAAATAATAGCCCGGGTTCTCATTGTACCTTACAATCACCATTTTACCACACAATGGGTAGGTGACAGCATGACAACGTCCAATCACGGCTAGGGTGGTGGCAAGCATCCTAAAACATGTTTTTCGCTAGTTTTGCCACAAACATAGCTCATCAGAGGAAAAAATAGGGGAGCATATAATCGTGACGTCAAGAGGAAGTACAAGAGAACCATTAATTATAGAGGACTATCGGGAACAGGGGTTGTGCTACCAAGACGATTGATTGCATCACCTCTGGCTGCGGTTTCGCCAAATCCTCCTCCGCAAGATGCACGTCAAGCATCTCTTCAAAATCAAACGCAGATTCCATGGCGTCCTCAACGGACCCTCCTCGAGCTTATTGAAATTGCTATTCGTGGAGTGCAGTGAACCGTCACTCCCAAGGGGATCCCAAGGGGAGGAGCGAGCAACAAATGGCAAGCGTCGCCGATACAGATAGAGAAAACCTCGGCAAAACTCGAGCTGGCTGAGCAGAAACTTCGACAGCGACGGTCACAGTAGCAAAGAACGGCGCACCTTGCATAGCCGCGCGATAATCTCCTCTCAACAGAAAAACAGGTCGACTTTGCCAACAAGCTCACACACGAGAGACAAGGGCTCCCGCGTGCGCAAACTCATCAGCTTCGACTGAAAAAAGAGGACTAGTCCTATGTCTAATCTCTGCTTAAAAATGCACAAGCACCTCATATTACCACCCGAGAGGTCGCGCCGTAGAGGATCGAAATATGACACC